TTTGCTTTTTGTGAAGGGCATCACGAAGTTGAATAAATAGGAAGGTGGTTGGGTGGGGATATATGAGGAGTTGCAGGAAGAGAAAGAATGTGATCAAAATAAATGAAAAATGTTCATTAAAACCATAAGTTGAAAATAGTAATAATTTTTCATATGTTTCTTTAGTTGCCTAACTTCCAGGTGGGTCTTCTTATTTCTGATAAGGTTCTGGTTCTATATTCTTCAATTCAGGCTTAACATAGAAAAATACATCATTTGATAGTGTTTGTAAACAGCAAGAAAATTTAAAATTTGTTAAAAAGTCTCCTGTTTAACTTGAGTTTTAAAATAGTTTCATTAGCAAGGGAAATTTTGTTCTCCAATTATGTTACCTCACACAAGTTAGAGACAAATTTTAGTGAAAAGAAAGCATTAAAAGACAAGCTTTACCTTGAACAAATATAGCAAGCATAGTATTTTCACAAATACTAGCCCTGGATATTCTATATTTTGACACTTCTTTCAAAGCATCCCTATTTGATGCCATACTTTTAAACAGTGAAGCTATGTCAAAGTATTTCCATTCAAGTAACCCTTGAATTCTTAACTTACAGAGTTAATCCTACTTTTATTACCATTAACACACATTATTTCAGATTATTTGGAGAATACAATTCCATGAACTATACCTTGTTCTTTTGCTCCAGGTCTGCACTATACTCAAGTAAGTTTTTAGCCAGCATCTGATTGCCTTCAGACACAGCATAGTGGAGAGAAGTATTGCCATTTTTGTCCATATGGTTTGGGTTAGCACCATGCTTCAGCAATGTATACACACATCCATATGTCCAGTTTTGTACAGCCTAGGGATTATATCAAGAAACAGATGGCTAGTTCAAAGAATTCAATATAAACATCATATAAATTTCACCGCATATTGACATGTTCATGGAGAATGTTTGTTTATAATCATTTAACCCAAGTCTATTTTATGCTTGATTTGGATAGCTATACATACCTTCATCAGAGGTGTGATGGAGTTTATGTCAACGGCATCAATGTCACAATTATTTCTCAGTAGAACCCTTACGACTTCTACCTTGCCATAGGCACAAGCAAAATGCAGCGCAGTCCTATGGGAATGAGGAATTTTAAATAAAATTCTAGAACACTATCTTAAAAATAACAATTACTCATGTAATCATAAAATACTCAATGGCTCATAATTCTTAAACATTGAGTGGTATATGATTCTTCCACCTTCTGAATAGTTAAGTCCTTCTGAAGAATAAAATGGAAATATTGTTGTTGGTATCTTTTGTGTGGTTTTGGAAACTGAGCACATGGCCTCTTTTCATGTTTAGAAATTAATCTACTATTGAGTATTATCCCCTACCAGAAAAAAGTTGAATAGTAAAAGCATGGCCTTAGATTAAATCACTATAGGTTTTTTATTATAACTTAAACCTTGCTACAAACTACTTAGGATTACTATGAATCAAATCTCTCACCAGTAAAGCAAAGATCAAAAGTAGTACTTATCTCACAGAACACCATGATGCATCAATGGGAATTATAAAATAATGAAAAATACCTAGAATAGCTCCCTGCACTTGACAACTCAATCTAAGGTTATCACTATTAACTCTATTCAACAAACAAGATTTCAAGTACATAAAACTATATGATAATTTTTTTGATATGTTTAAATACTAATAATTACAAGGATTCTAAATTGCACTTAAAGTCTCTAAATTTGCTAAGAGGGGCAAAGCGACAAGGCTATAAGAATAGTACAATATGACCAGACAGTGGTATTGCACACCTTTAATCCAAGCACTTGGGAGGCATAGGCAGGCAGATCTCTGTGAGTTCGAGGTTAGCGTTGTCTATAAGAGCTTGTCCCAGGTCAGCCTGGTCTACACAAAGAAACCGCGTCTCGGAAAACAAAATAAAACAAAACAAAATGAAAAAAAAAAAGAACACTACTATATGAATGCTACATAATAGCTATCAGTGATGAAAAATTACTTGATAAGTTCATGATTTATCAAGTTAAATTTGTAGGTGGGATTGGACAACTGGACTAGTGACCTCCAGCTGGTGTGCAAGTCATGAGGCAGTGCTGAAGATCCAGAGACAGAACAAGAGAGGCCATC